GGAAACCTCAGAGGCACTGGCCAGTTGCTCCAGCTCCTTTGAACACTTTGGGATGGGGAATGCCCCCACTACTCTCCATGCAGGGGCGTTTCTTTGGGATGCTGTCGCCCCTGTGGGTGTGATGCTGAGAGCCAGTGGACAGGTGGAAGGGATTCAGGAGCCACCTCAGCTCCCTGCAGGCTCCAGAAAGTGAGGAGAGATGGGCTCTGTCCCACCCCAGTGGCTCTGAGCATCTGTTCCCACTGAGGCACTTATTCCTCTCCCAGAAATAAGGTCTTTTCCTAATCACCAAATCCACCCACAGTGGTGTGTGGCACCACCAGAAAGGTATGAACCCTGTCCTACAGGGTTTATACCTGCTCTGGAAGAAGGTTCCTGTGCAGCAGAAGAACTGTGATGGGTGTTGGACCGAGCTCCTCCTCAAGGGCCCAACACCAGTGGGTGGGATATTTCACTCCACAGGAATACAGGGATCACAATATTTCAGTTAAAATGAGGGAACATCCATGCTTTAAGATGCAGAAGACAAATTTCCCTCTCCAAAGCATTCCTTTGGAAAGAGGGAGCTTTGGATGCTTTTAGGGTCTACCTCTCTGTGTTTTATGTAGTTTTAGACTCAATAAAGTTTCTGTCCTGGAAATGTGTTGGATGGGCAGAGCAGATGAGGAGGAAAGGTTGGACACCTGGTTGTTAGTGCCTGAATGTGTATTAAACTGGGAGAAAACATGAAAGAGCTGTTGATGTGAAGAAAGACTGTAAGAAAATGGTTCTTCCATACTCATGGAGACCAACAAAAATCAGTTCAGCCCATTGTGTTTTCCTTGGGAATTGTAAGAAAAAACTCTTTCAGAGAAGATGCTTCAGGTGTAAGAGTTAATTTTAAATTTAAATAGATTAAATTTTCCTTCATATACTCTGAGGTTTTATATTCATCCCAGGCTCCTCCACTTCCAGACTGGGTGATCCTTAAATGATATGTGTGTTCTCAAGCAGAAAATGTTCTCTCTTGCCTTCATCCCAAGGCTACACCGGATTCATCCCCTGCTTCACCAACAATCTCGGTCTGACCTACATCCCAGGTGTGAGGAAGGCAATGAAGGAATTTGACTACTACCAGGTAGATCACATATTGCTGAAATAAGAATGTGCACAGTGTTGATGCTGATCCACCTGAATTTTCAGTGGTAGGATCAGAAGTACAAATGAAATGCTATTGGGTAATGCTGAAAAAAACATGAGTGATTAAATTCTATAACTTGTTTCCTTGGGACATTAAGGGAGGATAAATGAGTTCATGAAAGGATTAAGCAAATCTACTGAGGGCTGGGTCAAAGGTGGCTGTTAAAAATGTTGCTCTGAGTGCAGAAATACAGGATGCAACTCTCTGCACTTCCCTGATGGAATAGATCTTCTCCATCTGGATGGCAGTGCTGGATGGCTTCCTGTGCTGCTTGGGTGAATGTGTCTCCCTTTTAATTGGTTGTAAGCCTTTTCCCTTTACTAACATCATTTGTCTTAAAGGGATCTAGATCTTCTTTCTCCTCTTTTTTTGGGGAGAAATATCCCTACTGGAAAACTGTGTTGTAAGAGCTCCCATACGATGCCACATAATCCTCCCGCACGGGAAAATGAGATCCCTCCCACAGCAGTTAATAGCTTGTATTCAAAGCTGCACATCCCTTCCTGCTCCCGGGATGCAGGGAAGTCCCCTGGGATGCAGGGAGATCCCTGGGATGCA